TCTCTCTCTCTCTCTCTCTCTCTCTCTCTCTCTCTCTCTCTCTCTCTCTCTCACACACACACACACACACACACACACACAGACTCTCTGTAATCGGAACACCAAGAGACAGCTGCACATTGGCCAGCAGCCTTCCAACTCCCTTCTCAGGCTGGCCATAGGCGGTCCACTGTCTCTATTTTGGTTTGATTTTTGGAAACAGACAGACACCATCCCATCCTGCCCTATCTGCAGTCCTTCCAGTGCGTACAATGAGCCTCTTTGCTTAGTCAGCGCTTACTATGGCAGAAGCATCTCAGCAGGCCCCCAGTGATGTGCCCAGGACCCTGAGATGGTTCAGCCTCCTCCAGACACATTTCCACTCTGTCCCGGCCCTGTGGCTCAGGCTAATAATGAGAAAATCCTTCAAGGGAAGATGCTTTATTCAAATATGGCTAGTTACAGAATGAGCACTGGCCACCCTTAGCTTCGACACCTAGAGCTCCACATCCAGAATGGGTCCTGTACGAGCTGGCCACCAGCCCATCAGAAAACTCCCCCTCTCAGAGAGAAGCGAGAAGGAAGGAGAAAGACAAAGACCTGTCTTGACAGAGGCTGGGGGACAAGCTGAACAGGGCTATAGTAAAGTTTAAAAACATGATCTGAATGCTCCTTGCATGCCAAGCCGTGTATTAAGTACTTTATGGTCCTTATTTTGTACCCCACACCCATCAGTCTGATAAGGAGGAATCTAGGCCGGGGAGCCAGCCATTAGTTTAAACCTATCCTTGCCTCTTGAACATTGTGTACTCGCAAGAAATTCTTACATTCCTAAAGGCTCAATTTGCTTATCTGTAAAATGGAGTAATAACAGTACTGACACCATAGTATTCTGAGGATTACATCAGATAAATGCATATAAAATGGTAAGGCATGTCTCTGGTGCAAAGGCAAGCAGTCAACAAGTATTAGCTGGCCTTATTACCATTGCCTTTGATAGCTTCTTTCTTGGCCTTCTGCAACAAAGTCCCATAAACTAGATGACTCCAGGTCACATAGATGTGTTGTCGGATAGTTCTCAAGGCTAGGAGTCCAAAATCAAGGTGGCGGTGGGTTGATTTGTTTGCAAGGCTGTGAGGGATAGACTTGTCCCATTTTCTGGAGTTTGCTTCCTGGCCCCGCCAGATTCTCTTCCCTATGTGTGGGAGCCTCAGGCATTCCTTGCTGCTGTCACAGCAGGCCGTCTTCTGTCTGTACCCCTTCCTGTTGTTCTTCCCTGTGTACCTATTTCCTCTTTATAAGAAAACCTGTCACATCACTGGGGCCCACTCTAATGACCTGCTTTTAACGTGATTACCTCGAGGGAAATCTTGTTTCCAATAAAAGTCACGTTCTCAGATACTGACAGTTGATAGTACCCATGTATCTTTTAGAGGAGACGTAATTTGGTCTATGACATAAGGCTATGTAACATGTTTAGTTATGTGACTTGTTGGTGATGGAACTGGTTCTCTAGCCACTGATTTTTGGAACGCAGAAAGACTGAGGCAGGGGTGTCTAGTACTGTAACATGACAATGTTGTCATCTCCAGATGGGCTGGGCTGCACTCACGGCTATCCTGGGACCCATGTGGGCTGTGGGCCACAAGCTAAACTAGCAGGAGCTACTCAGACCCCGCCAGTTTTGGTAATGGCGTTTTCTCTTTATTTTCCCTTCTTCCACAGCCTGCCTGCTCCAGGCCGAGCTGGTAAATTATGAGCGAGTCAAGGAGTATTGCCTCAAGGTCCTAAAGAAAGAAGGAGAGAACTTCAAGGCCCTTTACAGGTCTGGCGTGGCCTTCTATCATCTCGGGGACTACGACAAAGCTCTCTACTACCTGAAAGAAGCAAGGACCCGACAACCAACAGGTGAGACAGCTGTCCCTTCTTTCTCAGCACAGGCATCCCTGACACTTCCTGGGGCCTGCTCACTGCAGAAGACACATCTGTGGCTGGCAGAACTAGGTGGGCCCAGGAATAGAAAACAAGGCCTCAGGCATAGGTAAGACTTGGGAGAGCACATGGTCCATGCCTTCACCTGGGGTCTGGTGCTCAGGGACCCTGGGTACCTCTTCTCTTCAGATACACTACAGAGTTGAGTTTTGTCTTTCCCAGTTCAAACCTGGGTCTCGTCACTGATTCAATAAATAGATACAGAGTTTTTGCTATGTAGCACAATTTGTACTAGGTACCAGAGATGCAGATGAGAAGGTGCCTCCTCTTTCCCATAAGTCCGTGGTTGGCTGGCAAGACAGATGTGAACAGAAACTTTTGATGCTAAGGGTAGCATCTTTCAGGAAGCATACACCGACTTCTCCAGTCAGATCGTATTCCTTTACATAGTGTGTATTAGCTTTCCCACCATCCATTCATTCCCTAGGTGTTTGTTAAGGTAGTACAGTGCACCAGGAACTAGTCTAGGTGATGGTTACATGAGCAGTGAGCAAGAAAAGGCTGCTGCTGTGCCCGTGGACCTGTTCTTATAGTGCTGCTGTGCCCAGGGTCCTGTTCTTATGGTCCTAGCATTCAGGAAGCTGTGGCAAGAGGATTGCTTCAGCCTAGGATTTCAAGACCAGTCTGGATAACACAAGAGAAAGTTACTTGTTTTATTTGGGTTTGAGTTTTGAGTGTTGTTGTCTGTTTGTTTGTTTTGAAACAAGGTCTCACAGTGTCAACCAGACTGTCCTCAAACTCCCCATCCCCCAGCCTCAGCCTCCCAAGTGCTGGGATTACAAGTGTGTGCCACCACACCCAGCAAGGAATGCTCGTTACAATGGAGGAAGTACACAGACAGGGAGATGGTGCCTTATTTAGCAGCAGTACATGCTATGAAGGAGATTAAGCAGAGTGAAAGGAACACCATTTTAGAACAGATGGTCAGAGAGCCTCTCCGACAAGGTGAACTGTAGGCAGTGACTTGGCTCGGTGTTATTGCTCGTGTTGCGGATTCCTTAAGATAGCAAGAGTCCCTCCAATCCATATCTCTAAGAACTTCTCAATTTTCAAACATCAAGCATATTCTTTGTCTTTTTAAAGACTACCTCTCCATAGTTATGAATGGTTTGCTTGTTTTCTGTGCACAAAATGTGGTCTGCCGACTATATTGTAAGCAAATTTGGAACCAAAAGCAAGCTCTTCTAACAGAGTTGTCTTGAGTACCCGTGATGTGTGCCAGTACAGGATGGATGCTATGCCTGGGGACTTTAAGCATGATGCTATATCATTTTTACTTCCACGAGTAGGTATCCTAGGCAGCAGTGTGGTCCATATGCTGTGGTAAGTGCTGAACTAAACGATTCTAGCCCACCATGAGCTACTTAAGGGAAGGACTGGAATTAGGAGAAAATGCTTCAGTTGAGAAGTGGTTGTCTGGCTGTACTCACAAAGACAAAAATAAGCATGGAGCAACGTCCTTTGAAGCTCCTAAGTTAAGTAAAACAACACATTCGACTAATGTTCATTGATTATTATATGTTAAGCATTTCATATGTTGATATGTTAAGCACTTTTTGACTTCCCTCTTCTGGCCCTCACAGCGACTCTATGAGAAGGGTATTATGAGTCCCAGGAGAATCAGGCTTGGGAAGACATGCCAATCACTACATGTCTCCTTGAGAATTTTTATTTCTTTATTTATTTTGCTATAGGGTCTCTCTCTACATAACCCTGGCTGCCCTGAAACTCACTCTGTAGACCACATTGGCTTTGAACTCACAGAGATCTGCCTGTCTCTCTGCCTCCCAAGTGATGGGGTTTAAAGGACGTGCCATATGCCTGGCTCCCTGGGCATCTTTATGTTTCCAGGTGCCAGCCTTCCTTTTGCCATAGTGAGGGTCGGGATACATTCCTTGCAGGCTGCAATAAGAACTAGATGAGACAACGAAGGCTAAAAAGGCCTAGCCCAAAGGGGCACAAGGCTGTATGTACACCTGTAGTCCTAAGTGCCTGGGAATCTGAGGCAAGACTATCACTTGATTCCAGGAGTTCAAGGCAAGCCTGAGCAACCCCCTCCATTAAAAATGTTTTGTTTGCTTAGGTTTTTGAGACAGGGTTTCGTGTAGCCCAAGCTAGCCTCAAATTGGTTACGCAGTCAAGGATGACCTTGAATTGAACCTCAGGTTTGTGCCTCCCAGGTGCTGGGATTTACAGGTACTTGTCACTACATCCAGCTGTAAGCAACATTTTTTTTAACTCAAAAGAAAGATCACAAAGTAGATATGAAAAATGAACATTGTTTCTTGCAAATGAGACACAAGGGTAGGGATGTAGCCGGGCAGTGGTGGCGCACGCCTTTAATCCCAGCACTCGGGAGGCAGAGGCAGGCGGATCTCTGTGAGTTCGAGACCAGCCTGGTCTACAAGAGCTAGTTCCAGGACAGGCTCCAAAACCATAGAGAAACCCTGTCTCGAAAAAAACAAAAATAAATAAATAAATTAAAAAAAAAAAAAACAAGGGTAGGGATGTTGGCTTACCTGAGGGTTAATGCCAAGCAGACTCTCAGCTGACTGAGACACAAGGGTAGAGACGCTGGTGGCTTACCTGAGGGTTACTGCCAAGCAGGCTCTCAACTAACTGTGCTGACACCGGAACCACTGAGATCAGTTCTTGCCCACCAGGTCAGGTAACCACAGTAGGCTGGTTCCATTTGCTAGGGAGAAGCCATGAGGAAAAGGCCGGCATCTGGTTACGACCTAGCAGAAGGGACCCTGACTGAAAGAGTCTAGTCTATCACCAAGCTTTAAACCCAGCTCTTGCCCCCATCTTTGAAAACAACACCATAACCCATGCTGGGAGGTCCCTGAGCTGTGTTTTCTCTCCCTGCAGACACCAATGTGGTTCGGTACATCCAGCTGACGGAGATGAAGCTCAGCAGATGTTCCCACAGGGAGAAAGAAGCCATGTAGCCAAGAGCCCTCTATCAAGCCACACCCATGCCTGACGAGGGACTTCCAGGCACCCTTGGTGGAGAGTCCCCGTGTGGGTTCTCTCCCTCTCCCCAGTTCCTCCTGTATTCCTTGTCCTTCCTGTTGCTCCCTGACTCTGTCTACTCCCAGTGCGAGGTGAGAGGCACTCTTGGACCTTGACGGGTGGCCCAGATGTGGACTTAATTCTCTTTTCCAGCAGACCAGCAAACGGGACAGCTGGGGAGGAGTCTCATGGACTGGGGACAGCACTGTGGCTTTGACTTGGGCCAATGTTTCGGAGCCTGGCAGGTGTGCAGAGCCAACGGTCTGGAACCTTCTACACCTTCTTGATGAACCAGAGCATCTTGAGGAAACTGAAAGAAACCTGGGGCTGATGAATGGGAGAAGCCTTTTTGAACCAAGGCTGAGATTGTGAATTCCCTACCCCCCCCCTCCTCCCACCAGTCACCTGGGCTCCTGCCACACACACTCTTACTTGTCTAGGCTTGTACTTTCTTCTCTCGCTCTGGGAGGTCAGTTCTTTGCCAGGCAGGCTTCACATGCCATCAAGTCCCACTCTCGGTGCCCTCTGGTGACCACACATACCATTCCCCTGCCTCCCAGCCAGCAGGCAGCTGTGACAGCAGAAGGGCGGGGTGCAATGGGCCAAATGTTGGGAGCAGAGCAGACTGCGTAGGTGACAGAGGAGGGAAAGATGGCGCCACGGGAAGAATGAGCCTTGGGTGGGCTGAGGGCCTGGACTGACTAATGTAAATAAATCTAGCTCCCAGGCATCAGTTCCTGTCCTTTCTGTTGAGAGCAGCCCACTCCCTCATTTCCTTTCCCTTCCCGTCCCTCAGGCAGAGTGGCCTACAACTTCCCCTAAAGCCAGTGACCGTTAGCCAGGACTAACCTTCATGGTGGCCACAGGCTTTTGTGCTTTGAGGAGTCGGCTGGGATGGTGGAGGGTGCCCCAGGATTTGGCTTTGTGAGGATTTGTCCAGCCCCCCCCCCCTTTTTTTGACAGAATTGCCTGAACTCAATATCTAGCACATCACAAATTTTTGTTGAATGGATAAATCTCGACTGCAGACTGACTCTCCTGCCTTAAACTGACCGGATCCCAGCCTGTTTCTCCTGACATGTATGCTTTTTATGCTATGCCATGTTGAAACATCTCTTGGGGGGGGGCTTGCAGTTTCCCCACCACAGTGCAATATAGGACGCAGTCCCAGTCTTCACGGAGATAGGACAGCTGAGAAATCCATATGAGACTATTACCAATGACATCACTAATGTATAGGACGCTTCAACATTTCCAAGGCACTTTCATGACTTTTTTCGTGTGACTTAGTGAGACACTGTTGTATAAAATTAAAATATCTACAGATGCAATAATGTTAATAGTTAGGATTTATTAAATGCTCTGTCTTCAGATCTCTACATGGACAATCTCATTTCTTTCATATAATCGCTTTGTGAGATACTATTCCCAGGTGATGAAGAAGAAAACAGCCAGAAAAATGAACGTTCTTGAGGTTGCATGGCCTTACGGGACATGACTAGGACTGAATCAGATCTGTCTGACTCCAGAGCTCTTGTGACTAACAACCATCCTGTGCTTAGCTGCCTCTCTGTTGGACAGGAACAACTGTTTGAGTAGAAAAATATTTGCATTAACTTAGGGAATGTTCAACGCAGTGCCCTGCCCACCTTATATTTATGAATGCAACATAAAAAAGAGACCAGAAACCAGAAGCCCCAGTGGCTTGAACAGTGACCAGCCAGGAGAAGACAATTAAGACCCAACAGTAAATCTGTGTGTCGGTTGCTCTATTTGCTGATGGGCGGCATGAATTGGAACAACCCACCTGGCCTTCCTCACTGTGTGGCCAGCAGCGAGAAAGGATCACAATTATAGGCAAAGACAAGAGAGAAACATGAAGTGAGTTATGAGTCACTAGTTTAGTAGCTTTGCCACCGCAAGACCCAGTCACTGCTGAAGGGCCCAGCAGCCAACAGCACAGGTTTTATCCATACAGCTCCCTAAACACCTTCAATGGGGGCTGCAGGAAGGTGCTAGAAATATCCAGAAGTCCACAGTGATTCTGGAGAAGAAGAAAAGGAAAAAGCCATTCCAGGTACCACATTCCCTTCTTCTCTTCCCTGATTTTGACCGTATCTTGTATTCTTCCTCCAAAATGACTTCACATGACCCCAACTCCAAACTCCTCTCAGACCTGGCATATGCCTATGCCCATCCCCTCCACCCCCAATGCCATCCCCAGGCTCAGGATTTATAAGTTGACAAACTATTAGGATCTGAAGGACAAGAATGAGGTCAAAGGTGATCTACAGAATGAGTTCAAGCTGGCAGGCTTCCCCTTTGTTCTTCAATGCAGTAGAAATGATTTATATACTTATTCCCAACAAAGGGTCAGCATGAGAGAAGTCTTGCTTGGATGTTTTGGGTCAGAACTATACTCACAGGGATCACTCCCAAAGAGAATGCTTGGAAAACACAAGGAGATGAGGACAAGTGTATAGCCATTGTCTTATCCAGTGACTCAGAGAAATAGGCTCACAGGAACTCTATTCACTGTGATGCTCCCGACAAGGAACTGCCTGGGGTATTAGTTAACCCTAAGGGGTGGCAGGGTTGACGTTTCTACTCATTTGTTGGCAAAGTCTTCAGAGGGCTGCGTAATCTCCCTTTTCCCCCAGCTCCTAAAATCAATGACTGTACTCTAATTACAGACTTGATGGGTGTCTTGGTTGAACTTGTGTAGACAGCACTTGTCCTGGGTCGGACTGCACTGTGTGGACTTTTGTGAGAGACCCCGCGGCATAAAACTTAAGACTTTTCTTTGCACTACGAAACCGTCCCATATGTATTGTAAAACATTTAAGGAAAGTTAAGGATGAAGCTCAGCCCCTCACACAACCACATTTTTATCCTTTCGGCACATTTTTTTTTTCATTTTTCTTGGTATAAATGTGTGCACACACTCTCACTGATTTTTGTTTGTTTTTTAATGAAGAAAACTGGACCATGCTGTATATAGTCTTTAATAACTTACTTTTCAAATGTGTATTTATATTTTAGAATATGCAATATATGCACAGGTATACAAAATTCAAATAGTACATGAACTCTGTAGTTGGAGGTAAATTTTTCCCTTGTCTGTGCACAGCTAGTTTCCTTCTGGTTTCTTGTGTACCCCACTAGAAATAAGTGCTTTTTCAAAGATATGTATATATGTTCTTTTATTACTCACAAGTGGTTAGCATAGCAGATACTGTTTCCTCTGTTGCTTTATTTCTGTAACACAACATGGGCGTTTTTGGATTTTTTTTTTCTGCTAACATCTTCATGATATGGGTGGATCTTTATTTTGTAACGTGTCTACAGATATGGATGAGTGGTCCCAATCTTTATTGTAAATAATGTTGTAACCGACATTCTTGTCGCTAAATTTTGCACATGTCTGTGACGAGTTCCTTGGGATATAATCCAAGAAGGAAACTGCTTGGCCGTTTTCAAGGATTTTGTCAGCAATGCCCTGTGGAAAGTTTGTAGCAAAAACACTGTCCTGTTGCAGCCCCCAGACTGCCCTGCTCTCTGGGCCCTAGCAAGCACCACACTAGGTATTATCTCTTTTGACGATTTGATAGGCAAATGACAATTTGTTGATGGTATTCCAACTTATTGCTTTAACTTTCTTTGGTTACTGGTAAACAACTTTTTCATATGCTTACTGACCTTGTGAACTTTCTATTTATTTGATAGTGATGTATCCGTCATTATCTGTGTTTATCTTTATTATCTGTTTGTAACTTTAAGAATATTATTTTCATCAAGAAATGCTACGGACATGCTTTCCAAGTGCTTTGCTTTCATTTATGGTGCTTTTTGACATACATAAATTCCTAATTCTGCAATTAATCTGTCCTATGTTGCTAGCTTTTCCCGCCCATGTCTTAGACCCTCGTGTCTAAGAGGCAACCCAAGCAGGTGCTTCCACAGCTTCAAGATACATCGTCACTTCTCATCGCTCCTTGACATAACGCGCCAGGTCTTTCCTGTACCTTCCTCTACCTTCAGCAGGCTCACTCTGGCCCTCTGAAAGTATCCTCCGGTCCATAGTCATGTCACTGAGCCACTGAGCTGGGTCTGTGCAGCTTTGCATTCTGGGCCCTGTGCCTTGTGGGACATTCCTCACACTTCACCCTGTCTTTGCCTTGTAACCTCTTTGAAGCGCTGACCCAGGGTCACTCACTAGTGTATGTTCAGAAAGCAAAGCCTCCCTACCTCTGTGCGGTGTCTGCCACCACTGGTCAGAATGTCCTCTTTACAGTCACCTCTCTCCTTGCCTGGGTGTTTGTTCCCCAAAGCAGATGCTCGGATTTCTTTGGAGTCAGAATGTCTGACATTGTAGGTGTTCAGAAGCTGCAGAGCTCAGGACCTGTGGTGGATGAGCAGTGGATTCGGCGGCCGATATTGCTTGTGGTATAAGGCAGGGCTGGACTAGATCTGTGCTTTTGAGAAATGAGAACTTCCTGGAAGACTTGGGCTGGCAAGGAAGCCGTGCGCTCCAACCCTTGCTTTCCCAAACACCGTAATCACTTAAGCTTTTTAAAAGTACAGGCTCTTGGGTTCCACTTCAGACCCGCTGGGTCAGAATTACAGAATTAATGCCCATGGCATTAGAGTGTTTACAAAGTTCTGATGACCAGGCACAGTAAAGGGCCAGCACTGAAAAAGGCCAGCAGAGTCGTTCCATCGCTTCAAACCACGTGACATCTTACAGGGGACAGGTGAAGCTTTATCACAGGTAGTTACTTAACTTTCTGGCTCTCATTTTCCTAGCTCACATAGAAGGGTATTGTGGGGATTAGGAAACTGGCTCCCAGCTAGTGTCCGCAACAGAGTGAGCACAGAATAAACTACCATTCCCTTCCCACCCTCTTCAGCCTCAGTTTTCCTCATTCATAGTGTGACGGCACCTCTATGCCTGCCCTCGTTAATCTTACACTCGGCACTCTTGTGTAAGTCTGGCCAAACAGGCTAAGTTCTTGGGAGGGGTGGTAGGAAACAGAGCAAGCCCCATATGGAGTCTTCAGGTCCTCTCCATAGCAACCGATGGGAAACATTTGATGACCTTCAGAACTCAGTGTCCTCTGGTCTTACCCAAAGAGCACGGTTTTCTTCTGGACCACTCACCCGAGAGGACAAGCTGTCAGGCGTCGGCACCACGCTGCAAGGAGGAAGCCACTGTTAGGGAATAGAAGGGAAGCTGCCCACTCTTCTTCCAGTGCCCTTGGTATCCCCATCACAAGACCATTGTGCAGACAAACTCCTAATGGGGTAGCTGCTTTGAGTAAGATGTTCCAGCCTCTGTATCCAGCACCGGGCACCGGGGCAGGTGGCGGCAACAGGGAGAATGCACTCCATCCATCAGGCACGGCATAGTTCAAATTACCGAGTCAGCATGAAAAGTCCCACTCTAAATGGACTGAAATTAGGTTCTATTAAAAACCACAGGCAGCAATGCCTTCAGCTATTAATATTTGCTAAGACATCGGAGAGGGAGAGGAGGGAAGAGGCCTCTGAAGAAGGTTGGGCTGCAGCTGCTGGTGATAGGAGACCTACACTGGCCTGTTTTTGAAGTCTCAAAGAATGTTAGGCGTGGAAGGAAGCGTGAAGTGAAATAGCTCTACCCTCTTATACACACACACACACACACACACACACACACACACACACACGAATGGTCAAATCCAGTTTGTTGACCTATCCAAGGTCACACAGCTGGTAAGCAGTTCAGTCAGAACTGGAACTCGGGCTAGTTTCCTGCCGACAAACAACACTTCATTGATCACCTGGCCTCCATAGGCCCGTATTTTAACTGGAGGGCCACAATGGTTTTTGGGATCTTCTGGAACCAGTGTCAATTCAGAACTAGTATCCGAGAGACCCCGGAAAGTCCGGTTGTTTCCTTTTCCCCTGTTAAGTCCTGGCTCAGCGAGAGAGCCTATCTCAAAAAATAAGGTAGACAGTGTTAAGAGACACCCAGTGTTGACCTCTGGCCTCCACACGCCCACGTGCACGCACGCTTGTGTTTGTGGTGTCTGTGTACATGGTTCACTGTTGCTCCCAAACATGAGGTCCTAAGCACTTGGCTGGAGCCCGACATTGTCAGTTCTCACATCTCTGCCTCTTTATTCTGCCTGGAATGGCACTGTGAATTAGAAACAGAGTGTGGGTCAGCTATATCTGGTAGTCCCAGATCCAACAGTCAAAAGAAACAGGGGAGACAATCTTTAATAATAACCATAATGATAATGATTTAATAATAACCTATAATAATAATAATAATAATAATGCAGCACAAATTCTAATTGTTCTTAATAAAAACCTGGAGTCAGTTATCAGGGGATGAAAGCTGAGAGATCAGAGAAGCAGTGCAACCAGCTACTAGAGAGACCTTTACCTCTGCTGAATCCTCAGACCAAAAGGGCAGTCCTGTCCTCAGACTGTGTCCTCTGACCACATCCTCAGACTGCTGCCTCAGACAGCAATAAAGGCCTGTCTCCTCCAACTTGATATTCCTTTCTCTGGCCAGCTGTATCACTCCTGTATCCACCTCCTTAGTGCTGGAATTAAAGGTGTGGGATCCCAAGTGTGAACTCTCTTTCTCTTTTAGACTAGATCACTTTTGTGTGGCCCAGAGATCTGTCTGTCTCCCTAGTCCTGGGATTAAAGGTGTGTGCCACCACTCCCTGGCCTCTATGGTGCCTTAGCTCTGCACTCTGATCTTCAGGCAAGCTTTATTTGTTAAAACACAAACAAAATATCACTACAGTAGAGTCAAAAAAAAAAAAAAAAACAAAGCTAAGAAAACTGCCAAAAATATTCAAAAATACATTTCGCAAAAGAAGTACAGCATTAATACTCCAAATACTGCCAAACATTGCTGGAAGAAAAGAAAAGATGTCTGAATAAGTAGAAATATATATCTCATTTTGATGATGGAAGATTTAATTTTTCCTGATGCCAGTACTTCCAGGCTGATCTGGAGATTCAACACTCTTCCTATGATTGACAAAATAATCCTAAATTTCATATAGAGAGTCAAAGAATCTAGAACAACCAATCTAAAAACAAAACCAAAAATGGAACAAGGACCAGAAAGACGACTCCAATGGTTAAGAGCACTCCTTGCTCTTCCTGGGGATACAATTGTGATTCCCAACACCTGTTGGGAGCTATTGGGGGCTGTGGACCCCCAGACTCTGAATTTCTTACAAACAGCATATTTTCCTCTGCTCTGAGCCAGCCTGCAGCTGCTCTGAGCACGAGACCCTGATGGCAGGGGAGTGGGTTCTGATGAATCTGCAGCTGAAAGATCCCGAGAGCTGGGGCGTGGCCAGAGCCCTATATAAGCTGCCCCTGAGCACAAATAAAGCTGGCACTCTGGTATCAAGGATGATGCATGTCCATGTCTCTCTCTGTGTCTCTATGTGTTTTTAAGTCTCCAGCTTGGTTCCCGGCTGCATACCGTCTTGAAGTGGGATGGGTGCTATAGGACTTTCAGCTTTTTACAAGCATTCACATGAGACGGTTCATCACCTCCTGTGACTTCAGTTCCAGGAGATCCAGGACCTTCTTCTGGCCTCTCCTAAATAAGCTAAATATTACTAAAAGGAATACAGGAGCCACATCTGCTTCTGAAGCTTCATGTAACAATTAAGACCACATGAAGCTAACACAATGAGGGGCAATGGATCAACAGATCAGCAGAAGGGAATGTGGATCCTAAAATAAGCCCTGGCATTGACAGTAAATTGATTTTGTACAAGGGTACCAAGACCATTGAGTGAGGGGGAAAAAATGTCTTCTCTACAAATGGTGCTGAGTTGACAAGCTGCCCTCTGCCAGGTGAGACCATCTGCCTCACGCTACACACAGAAATCCACTCGACATGGGCTGCAGGCTTCAATGTCAGCGCCAGCATTCTAAAACACTTGTGACTCAGGTTACATAATGGCTCCAAAACACAAGCAACACATGAAAAAAAAATGGTAAACCAAACTTCACTGAAAGTTGAAAATGTACTTCAAAGGATGCTTTCCAGAACTGACAGTGCGCAGGTGTGGGGTGGGGGATGCTGCAATTAGTGTGTCTAACAAAGAACTTGTATCTGGAATGTATAAAGTATTACAACTCGACAATGAAAAACAGCATGACTTTAAGAAGGGATACAGGATCTGAATACACGGTACTGCAAAGGAAATAGGCAAATGCCAATACCCACATTAGCGGATGATCAATAACACGAGCGAAGTGCATTTGAAAACCACAGTGAGCTACCACTTTGTGTCCTTAGAACTGGGTCATCAGATGGGCAACAAACGGTACTAGAGCAAACAGATTCACCCTATGACCAGTTGCATCCATTTACTTAGGGAAGAAGGGCTTATTTTGATCTCCAGTTTAGAGGGTACAGTCAGTCCATCATGGCAAGAAACACACGGTGGTAGGGCTGGCTTCTGTCTCTGACACCAGGAGCTTTAGGAGTGCATTATTGCATCTCCGAAGATCAGGAAGCAGAGCTAGACCAATCTCTGCTCTCAAAGTCCATCCCTATGGCTCTGCACCTGCCACCTAGGCTCCACACCCAAACCTTTCTGTAATCTCCCCTGCCTTACTTAGTTGGGGTTTCTATTGTGGTGAAGAGACACCATGACCACAGCAATGCTCATAAATGAAAATTTTTCATTGGAGCCAGTTTACAGTTTCAGAGATTTAGTCCATTATCATCATGGTGGGAAGCTTGTCAGGGTGTAGGCAGACATGGTCCTGGAGAAGTAGCCAAGAGCTCTGCCTCGGGATCCACAAGCAATAGGAAGAGAGAGTGAGGCACTAGGGTGGGCTTGGGTTTTTGAAACCTCAAGTCCACCCCAGTGACATACTTTCTCCAACAAGGCCACACCTCCTCCAACAAGGCCAAACCTACCAAAAGTACCACTCCCTATGAGTTTATGGGAGCCATTTTTTTTCTCCTTTTCTCATTCTCCCTTTTCTATCTTTTTTTTCTTTTCTATCTTTCTCTCTTTTTTGGTTTTGTTTTGTTTTCCCAAGGCAGGGTTTCTCCGTAGCTTTGGAGCCTGTCCTGGAATTCGCTCTGCAAACCAGGCTGACCTCAATCTGAGGCCTTTAATCCCGAGTTCTGGGATTAAAGGCATGCGCCACCACTGCCTGGTAGGGGTCATTTTCCTTCAAACCACTACACCCCTCAAAAGTGAGATGGTTAAAAGCTATCTTCAAATTGTCCCCCCCCCCCAGTTTCTCAAGCCTGAACTCAAATATAGCCATGTCTGTTACCTCAGTAAGCCCAAGAGTTGAGCAATTACAGAGGAGACTGAGTTGTATCTGGTTAAGTCCCTCAGGTGACTGACAACTGGAATAGTCTCTGAATGCAATCAGAGGACCAGCAAGATCTGTGATCCTGGATTCTTCCAGCACAACTCACTGATGTCCAAGTGTTCAAAACATGAGTCTGTGAGGGACATTAGCCCCGTGTCTTATCACTGTTCTATTGCTGTGAGGAGACACGATGACCAAGACAACTTACAAAATAAAGCATTTAATTTGGGACTTGCTTACAGTTTCAGGGAGTCAGGCCATGACCCTCAGGGCAGGGAGTGTGGAAATCGACAGGCAGGCATGCAGCTGGAGCAGTAGCTGACTACTCACATCTGATAGGAAAGTAACAGGCAGGGAGAGGACAGGCCTGACTCAGGAATTTGAAATAGCAAATTCCCCAGTGACATACCTCTTCCAACAAGGCCACACCTCCTAATCCTTCTTAAAGAGTCTCACTGGGGACCAAGCATTTTAACATATGAGACCATTTTTGTTCAGATCACCACAGCATGGAAACAATAACACCCAGCAAGCAGGTCCTCCCGAAGTTTATATCCAAGATACCTGGATGTATATGTCCACATAAAAGTCTATACACAATAACCAGAGCAATGTTATCTATAGGGGCCAAAACATGAAAACCACCCAAATGCCCATAAATTTGCCAGTGATCAATAAAATGTGGTCAAGTCACACATGATCCAGAGAGCACAAAGAAGTGCAGTACTGACATGCTACAAAATGAACTCGATAAGACACTGAATGAAAGGAGCTGTGGGTGCCTTTCGTACACTGTGAAGATGTGTCTCTGCCAGGGCACCTTCTGATTGGTTTAATAAAGAGCTGATTAGCCAATAGCTAGGCAGAAGAGGATAGGCGGGACTTCCAGACAAAGATAGGAACTCTGGGAAGAAGAGAGGTGGGATTCACTAACCAGACACTGAGGAAGTGGGACCCACAATACTGAGCAGAGGTAATGAGACACGTGGCAGAATGCAGATTAATATAAACACGTTAAATTAAGTTTTAAGAGCTAGTTGAGAATAAGCCTAAGGCCAAGCTTTCATAATTAATTCTTACTGGTTATGATAATTATCAATAATTATGGTAATAATGAGTATTCATTATTAATAATGAGTCTCCATGTCATTATTTGGGAGCTGGCAGTCCAAAGAGAGGCCAGCTACAGAAAGAACCTGTTCACAGCCCACCCCATATTACAAGATTTCCAACTTACATGAAATTTCCAGAAGAGGCAAATGACAGAGATAAAAAAGAAAATAGGAATTTCTTAGAGGACAGAGCTAAAGGAATGGAGGAAACAGGATTGACATCTGAGGGGTGTGGGACTTTGTGATGAGGTAATGAAAATGTCCTACAATTGATTGTGTTGATGAATACACAACT